ACAGGCATGTACCACCATGCCCGGCTACTTTTTTATTTATTGTAGACACTAGGTCCTGCCAAGTTGCCCGGATTGGTGTCAAACCCCTGGTCTCAGGCAATCTTCTCGCTTCTGCCTCCCAAAGTGCTAGGGACTACAGGTGTGAGTCACTGTGTCCTGCTACGGTTCTTAAATATATAGCAAAATCAAGCTGTTACATTTCAGGAGATACAAAAATTGGGATTGTGCTATAAACTGTAAGGAGGAGAAAGTAGGAAACGTCTCTGATACTCCTTTCAAGATGTTCGCTATCCCACATCTCTGGCCAACATGTTCTAGAGCCTTCAATATTTCCTTCCTCACCTCCTTTCCAAGGTTACTCTTTTTAAGCCTCCACCTTGCTAGATCGTCTAAGTCTCTTGCCCCACCAGTTTGCTGTCTTGATCCTTCAGGTTCAATCTATTTATATAGTAAAAAAAAAAAAAAAGAAAAAAAAAAAAAGTAGAGTCACAGCTGGCTGCCTGAGCCCACGGGTTCTGAGCCAGACTCATACATAGAAGAGTCATTTAATGAAAGATAATTACTGACCAAGAATATCTCCCTATTGCAACTTGAAATTCACTAATTTGGAATTCATCTGAGTTAAGAATCAAACATGATCCTGGACAAGACAGGTGAAAGAGGTCCTCACTATCAGGTTCTGCATTAAAAAAATAACCTGGAAGGCTGGGCGAGGTGGCTCAGGCCTATAATCCCAACACTTTGGGAGGCCGAGGTGAGAGGATTGCCTGAGTCCACGGGTTCAAGACCTGCCTGTGCAACTTGGCGAGACCTCATCTCTACAATAAATCAAAAAATTAGCCAGGAGTGATGGCTCACACCTGTAGTTCCAGCTACTTGGAAGGCTGAGGCGGAAGGAGAGGCGGAAGGATTGCCGGAGCCCAGCAGGTCGAGCTGCGGTGGCCGTGAACAGCCTGCATGCCAACCTGCACTCCAGCCTGGGCAACAGAGTGATACTCTGATTCAAAAAACAAACAAACAAAAACAATCTGGGGCAGAGCATAGTGGCTCACACCTGCAATCCCAGCTCTTTGGGAGGCCAAGGTGGGAGGATTGCTTAAGCCCAGGAGTTCAAGAACAGCCTGGGTAACATAGCAAAACCTCATCTCTACAAAAAAAAAAAAAAAAAAAAAAAAA